AGCGGTTGTGTCGGGAAGGTGAGCATCATAGAATGCCAATTTACTAGAAGAAAGTATTCTTGTGTTGAGGGAGTACTTGAGTGGAGGGTAGCTATTTCTTAAAGTGGTGAATTTCTCTAGACTTTTAGATACATTGGATCATGGTATTAGAAAAATAATTGATTCTGAAGAAGCCTACAGTTCAATTATATTGAAATTACACTATTGCTTCTTACCAGATTCAAAATATGAAGTACCTTTTACTTACAAAGTCGATTTTAGAATAGTCCATTTTCCCCCCTGATAAAATTAAGTATACTAAGTACAAAGAAGGGCATTTTTAGTCTTTTTCCTTGTGTAGGTGTATAGTCTTTATACTTGTGGCACTTGCACAGAGTAGATCCCTATTAGACTGCCCTGTTGATAACTGCCACTTAATGCATGTTGATTTGATTTTCTAAAACGAAGCTGAGCTGGCAAAGTTTTTCTGTAAGGAACAGGAAGTAAGTCCATATTGTAAGTTCTACAGACCTTATATGCCATATGGTCATCTTCCTTTTTGTTGTTTAATTCTTTATAAATGTAAAAACTATCTTCAGCTTGGGAATAATAATAATGCATAAATAGATCTCAGGTTAGATTTGTCCCAAGGCTGTAGCTTAATCTTCTGAACACATGAATGTTATATTGTCATGTGATGCGGGGGTAGAGGGGTGAGGTGGTGGAGGGCAACACAGTTTAACATGTCTCAAAATCTCAAAATATTGTTAGTTGCTTGTGTTAATAATGGGTTTAAGTCAAAAAAGGAGTACAGTGGACAGATGATTTTGTAAATTGCTGACTTTTGTTTTGTTTGAGTAGCTCAGAACTTTTATGGATGTTTGGTGTGATGTCCACTATAAATTTCATCCACATATTGATATACACCATTGTTTCCCAAAGTGGGTGATGCTGCCAGCTTCCTAGCAGGTACTTTAATGATCCAAGAGGATTACAAAAGCAGATATTGAACACTTTATCCTAGATTTCAGGCTTTATGTTTCTATAAAAGTTTTTAATTACCAGAAAGGTACTAAGTAGGCCAAATAAGTTTGGGAATCTATGATATATATGAAGGACTTCAAAAAGTCCATGGAAAAATTCCATTTTGAAACCCCTTTATGGATATGTGTGTGTAATTTTCCCCTGTTTTATCTCACATTTTGTCTTGGAAACATCTTGAGGCACCAAGTGCTTTGTAAAGAATTTCTTAGCAAGTAGAATTTCCCTTTTTATTTTGCCGTAATTTTAGAAGGATATTTTTACTGGATATAGAATTCTGGGTGTATTTTTTTATGCTTATATTTTAAAGATACTCTTATTGAAACAAATTATAGCTTTATTATTAAGATGAAATCTAGATGCTATAAAATGCACCCATTCAAGTGATCTCTAACATATTCATAGAGTTGTGCGACCACTTTCATAATCTATTTTTAGAACATACTCATCACCCCCCAAAGAAATCTCGGACCATTGGCTTCTCGCTTCCAATTAGCTGTAGCACTAACCTATTTTCCGTCTATATATTTCCCTATTCTAAAAATCTCATAAAAAGGAATCATACAATAAATATGTGCTTCTTTTGTGACTGGCTTAGTTCAGCATAGTTTTCAAGGTTCAGTTCTGTTCCATGTGCATAGTCTAGTCCTTTGTACTTCTGGATAGCATTCCACTGTGTGTGTACCACATTTTTTAATGCATTTGTCAGCCGATATTTGATTTTTACTTTTTTGCCATTGAACATTCACATACAAAATTTTGTGTGGTGTAGTTTCTCTTGCACTCATTTTTACCTAGGATTAGAATTGTGGACCATGTTTAACCTTTTGAAGAATTGCCAAATTTACCCACATTGGCTGTGGTATTTTACATCGCCATCAGCCTGGTATAAGGATTCGAATTTCGCCACATTCCTGCCGACACTTATTGTCGTCTGTCTCTTTTATCACAGTGTTTTTGTTTGGTGCAATCGTGTAGATTTAGACTCATAGCAAGCCCAGGTGACAGTAGAACTGCTCCACAGGGTTTGCTAGGCCATTCTCTTTATGGGGGCAGATTGCTACACCTCTGCCCTAGAGAGCTGCTGGTAAATTCAAATCCCTCCTCTTTGATTAGCAGCCTAGTCCTCATAGTCACCCTCCAAACCAAACCAAACTCACTGCCATCTAGTTGATGCCGACTCACTGAGACCTTTAGTCATTTAGTGGGTATAAAATAGTGTTTCACAGTGGCTTTCATTTTCATGTTCTTAATAAATAATGATGATGAATGTGACTCTGAAACTTCTTTTTTTTTAAATTCATTTATAAATACTTTTTTGAATGCTTTGGAAATGAAATTAACATTATTTTACTTTTTGGATTGTTTATTACTAGTATATAAAATAAGATTAATTTTTGTATATTGATCTTTTATCCTATAACTATTATTAATTCATTTGTTGGTTCTGGCTGATTTTTAAGGCGTTCTTCAGAATTTTCTAAGGAGCATTGACTGCTAACTCACCCATTCAAAACCCACTAGCCAGCCATAATTTAGTTAGATCAAGCATATTTCTACATATGTTGCCATCATTATTTTCTAAACATTTACTTTCTATTTGAGGCCTTTGTATCAGCTCCTCTTTTCCTTCCCTCCCCCCTCCCACTCTTGTGACTCCTTGATAAATTGTAATTTGTTTTCATATGTTGCACAGACCACACCCACTGCTGTTCCCCTAACCCCCCACCGTTTCTGTTATTCGTCCCTCTAGGGGTGTGTGGTTATGTGTAGGTCATTGAGACCAGTTCCCCCTTCCTCCCTTCTATATCCTCCCTGCCCCCACCCTCCTTGTATTGCTACTCCCATTTCTGTTCCTGAGGGGTTAAACTGACCTGGATTCCATGTGTCACGAGCTCTTATCCATACCTGTGTATATGCTCCAGTCTAGCCCAAAGTGAAAGGCAGAACTGGGGTCATGATAGTGGGGGGTGAGGAAGCCTCAAAGAACCAGAGAAATATTGTGTGTTTCATCGGTGCTATACTGCACCCTCGTTGACTCATCCTTTCCTTGTGACCCTTCTGTGGGGGATGTCCTATTGTCTACAGATGGGTTTTTGTTCTCTGCGCCAACCCCCCTTTGTTCTTAACAATATGTTTCTGGTTTTTTTATTGTTTATATTCACTTTTAGTTTTCATCTATTTGTTTATAATATGCATTGTTTTGTTGCCCTCTTTATCTTGGGTGGAGATCTCTGGGCTTCTTAAATCTCTGTCTCAGGCATCTTTCAATTACACACTTTGGACCTTTTCCTGTTGCGCCACAGATCCCTGTTGCTCTCTTTAATGATCTTCTCCATCCCCCTCCCCCTTCTGTTCTTTACAAGGACAATTCCTTTCAGTTTTCTTTAAAGTCACTGACTTGTTTGCTTCTCTGTTTCATTCTGTTATTAGAACTGCCCAGTGTTTTTAAATTTTTACATATTCTACCTTTCTATTGTACAGTTTCTTTATACTTGTTTATTTATTATATACTTGGTCTGGATTCTTCTACTAAGTTTCTTTTGCACGCGTTCTGTGTGTATTTTCCTTTACTTCTCTGAGTATTGTAAAAGCAGCTATACTAACTACTGATATCTACTAACACTTGGGTCATTGTGCACCACTTCATTGTGTCTTCTTTTGAAATATGGTTATACAGTGAACCCTCGTTTATCGCGGTTAATCGGTTCTAGACCCTACCGTGATAAATGAAATTCCGCGAAGTAGGATTCCTTATTTGTAAATCAAATATTTTCATAGTTAGAGCATAGAGGACATGAAAAAACTCCCTTTAGTCACCATTACACTCGTATTACCCAATTTATTAAACGAAAAAGGGAAAATACAGTAAAACATTTTGGACGTTACAATTATTTATTTATTATATTATTTATGGCATCAAGCATGTACAGTATGAGCCAATCAGTGGCAGTAATGACAGAGCATGCGCTGTTAGGCAAAAACCGCGATAGAGTGAAGCCGTGGAAGTCGAAGCGCGAAGTGGCGAGGGTTCACTGTATTTTCTTTGTTCTTTCATATTAAGGAGACGATTTTGCTATTTTTCTTTGAAGAGAATTGATATTTGTATCTCCTTTTCTTTAATAAGTAATTCTCTCTCTTAGGTGACAGCTTAAATTTCAGTTTAGTTTTGATGTTAATTGAGCTACTTATAATAAGTCCTGTGTGTGTAGTTCAGGGATTAACCAGGGTTTGTCAGGAATACCTGGGTTATTGCAAAGTAACCACATTGGTATAAACATTTTACTTAGTATTTTAATAGAGTTCCTAGATCTTAGAATCAAAGTCTTAATAGCTGAAAATAATGATAGGTAATTGAAACCCGGTTTACTTGGATAATTAAATAAAAACTCATTTATTTAATTAAATTTTTTTCTTTGTTCTAGATCGGGCTGGGAGCATCAGTACCCTTGATTCCTTAGACTTTGCAAGATACTCAGATGATGGTAACAGGGAAACTGATGAGAGAGTAGCAGGTGAGTAAGATTGTAGAGACATACATCTGTATTCCTTGACATTCCAAATATAATAAAAATGGTTTAGTAATTTTAATTTCTACAATTTGGTGTGTGAAAATAATGTTTATAGTTCTTACCAAACTTTTGTTACTTTTCAGCTACAGGGTACCTCTTACTCCCTCTTCTTCTTTAGTGGGGCTGCAAATTTCTGGTTATGTGCTCATACTATTTGCTGAGTCTTGCTTGCAGGCAACATTATGCAATGGCCATAACTGGTGTCAGGTTTAAGTTAGTATAGTATAGTACAGTACAGTATAGTATAGTATAGTATAGTATGAATTCAGTTGGACCTGAGCCTCATTCTTTTTATCATCCAAATTAGGACTGATATATAAGTGTTATAGGGCAGTACAACTATATGACAGTTAAAAATTGGTTGAGGTGGGGCGGTGTTGATAAGCTATTTCTATTGAATTCCCTGTGTATATCTTAGCTATTATAACCTTTCTGCATGAACTTCTCTTGACCGTCTTATGATCTATAAAATAAAGGGTTAATATTTGTTACAGCAGGGTTCTCTAGGACCATTCTAAAAGAAGGCCACCATTCTTTCTAATTAGTGGTTCCCATTCTAATCTTTCTCCTTCTTACCCCATGTCCTAGGCATAACTATTGTATTCTAGGAACTTCAGAGGACTAATTTGTACCATGTGCACTGGTCACCCCAAACGAGCCTTGTTGAGTGCTGCTGGAGGTCCACCCTAGAAAGTGCCAAAGTAACAGCCCTGGCTCTCTAATTATTAAATGCGCAATACCTTTTGGTCCCTCAAGGCTGTGGTGCTTACCACATTGTTGATTAACTTACAGGAACTGTAGCCCTCATAAAACTATAATTCTGTGAGAGATGGTATTTGGGGTTCCATTAGAATGATGGGCACTCTTGGAATAGGAATGCCACATGGGACGGATGGAGCATGTAGAGGCAGCATGGGGACAAGGAGCATTCCATCTTAACTAACTCTTTTGAATTTTTCTTCCATTTATTGAGATAAGTATGTTAAAAACCTACCTGTCAGGCTCATTGTGAAGGAAAGGGGAGGCTAATTCTTATATAGTACTTGCTCCATTCTCAACATTGCTCTAAATGTCTGTGAACAGATTTGAGTTACAGAATTATCATCCCTCCTCCCTTTTGAACAGGTGATGAAACAGGCATTTGCAGGATTACTTTAGACTTTGATAGAAGAACTTGGCCTCAAGTCCAGGTAGTCCAATATCAGTGTCCAGTACTGTCCCACATGCCACCTGTTAGCATGAAAGATTAGGTTTGACCTAATTATATTTAACACTTCAATATATGATTTTCATTCCTTGACTGGGAATAGAGACAGAATATTTTTAGTCAGTATTTTGTATTAGAAAAAAAAATGACGTAATAACTTTTAGTTCAGCAGAAGCTGAGAAATGGGTCCAGCAATATAAACGATAACTATCCATTTAATGGAGAAGTTACTGGAAGAATTTAATGGGACTCCTATATCAAATCATGACTTAATCAAAAGCATCACTTATTGTCAGCTGTAACAGTATAGAACATATTAACATTATCTAAAAACAAATTTAGTGGAAGTTACTTGAATAGTGTTCTGACTGACTTACTCTGATTACATGTTGTACAAAGGTAAATCTGCAAAGTACTATTGTTAGGGTTCTAGTTTATTCATGCACAGATTTATTCCAAGCAAAGCATGTTCAAACGTGTTGCTGTGATCAGAAGATGGCTGCAGACAAGTTTTCTCAGATGTGTGGCTTAGTGTCTTTAGGGTATATTCAATAAAAAGGATATTTTTTGTGTAAGATGAAAACATGATTTTGAATTCAGGGCTCCCATCAAATTCTTAACAAAGCTAATATTGATATTTTTCTAGTTATCTTGCAAAAAGTTTGCAAGAATGTTGCCCCAATAAAAGAAGACCTTTTTTAGGTGGCTGAAGTGTTTTAAGAAGGGTCAAGAAGACCTCAAAGATGAATCCTAAGCAAGGAAATCATTTCAGAAAGTTATAGTGATTCTTTTTTTAGGACTCTGAAGGAGACAGACCTAGGTAGAGGATATGCCAAGAATTAGTAATTTCACATTTTTGATATTTTTGGTTAATAAAAGTTTCTGTGATTCTGTTAGGAGCCCTGATGGTGCAGTGGGTTATACACTGAGCAGTTGGTACTGACCAGCTACTCCAAAGTAGAAAGATGAGGCTTTCTGCTCCCATAAAGATTTACAACCCCGGAAAAACCCACAGAAGGAGTTCACCCTGGCCTAGAGGGTTATATGAGTCAGAATCCACTTAATGATTTTGTAGGAATACTTCTTACTTACTTTTGCATGTTGTATATTTTAGGTTAAGCATTCAATGTACACTTTCTCATTGAGAGGAGCCCTGGTGCCATAGTGGGTACCTGTTGGGCTACTAACTGCAAGGTCAGCATTTCAAAACCATTCATAAGGTCGCTATGAATCAATCGATCTCATGGCAGTGAGTTTGAGTTTTGGTTTATCTAATTGAGAGCATAACTAAATAGAGTTTTATATATTAATTTGTATTGTTGTGCATTTTATAAAATTTTAAAATAAATCCTACCAAGAAATTGGTGACATAATTATTTTCTTTCCTTTAGTAACCATTTGAAAATTTAGTCTAATTTAGGAGGTGTATTAGCATTCTTGTTATTTAGCTATTTTATTATTTTCTGTTAGGTGAAACATTATAGATTAAAAAGCAAAATGTTTAGCCAAAATGTATAATAGTTGCTGGAACAATCTTTAATTGTCATGGCATTATACGTAGAAAAGATGAAGACAGACATTCCTCTGGCCACATGTCACTGTTGATACAACATTTTTATTCCCCATCTAACATTTTATTCAAACTTCAGAGTAAAAAGTTTGATGACTGTTTCAAACTCTTTGTGGTAGGATGTTATGAGCTCAATGGAAGAGTAGAAAGAGAAGAATGAAGAAGCAGCAGTGGACCTGGAAAAATGACAGACTGCATGCATAACAGACTAAAAGATAACCTATTTATTCTGCGGAAGTTTTTATCTAAAGACTATTCTGTGCCTCTGGGTTTGTGGAAATAATGTCACTGCTAATTACTATAGTGTACTATACTCAAGGAGCCCTGGTGGTGTAGTGGCTAAGTGCTTGGCTGCTAAGCAAAAAGGTTGGCAGTTCAAACCCACTAGCGTCTCCATGGCAATCTGCTGCTGTATAAATTTGCAGTCTTTTAAAGTCAACAGGACAATTCTACTCTGTCCTATGGGGTTATTATGAATTTAAATCAACTTGGTAGGAAGGGGGTTGGATTGTTCTGATACTATGCTCACATATAAATGAATGTTTTCATTCATCTCCATTTGAAAAGGGGCAAAGAACATACCTTTTTCTAAGCAATGGCTAAAATGTTTAATTTTCTTTTACTGTATCTTTTTATTAAACCCAGAAATTAAGATATGGTAGATGAAACTTTACAAAAAATTTTTCAGAATGCTAATCATAATTCTCAATTCCAAAAATACTTTTGAATAAATAAATAAATACTTCTGACTGCTTTTAATAGTAGGAACTTAAAAATATATCAAATTATGTCAAAGGTTTGTTAAAACAACCCACAAAAGGTAATCCAACTGTCACCAGGTCACATGTAAATCTCATCAGGAAGGAAGAGATCTGTTAGAAAGAACAAAAACTTTAAACAATCTTTTTTTCATCTGTACCTTGTCACTGAGGGGTAAGCATTGGGCTGCTAACCACAGAGTTAATGCTTCAAACCCACCAGCCACTCTGCGGGAGAAAGATGGCACTGTCTGCGTCTATAGAGATTTATAGTCCCTGTGACTTCGACTCCATGGCGCTGGGTAGGGGATACAAGTCTTAGGCAGAAAGAGGATATGAATAACACAGGTCATGGGTCCACTGCCTCACCAGACTGTCTATAGCAGTGGTTCTCAATCTTTCTACTGCCGCAACCCTATAATACAGTTCCTTGTGTTGTGGTGACCCCAACCATAAAATTATTTCCGTTGCTACTTCATAACTATAATTTTGCTACTGTTATGAATTGAGCAACCCCTGTGAAAGGGCCGTTTGATCCTCAAAGGTTTAATCATCTTTTCTTGTTTCTGAGCTAGAAATTATTTCTGTTCAAGGTCAAGCTTGTCGTGCATTTCCTACACGTAGAAATCTGGTTATTTTTGCCACGTCTCTACAGGTTTCTCTTCAAAAAGGAATGTGTTGCCAGAGAAACAAATGTTTTTGAGCATCTCTCTGTGTCAGGCATTGTGCTTACTTTATATGTAATATGTTGTTTAACCCTTTGAACAACCCAGCAAAGTAAGTCACAATAGCTTAGTATAGGAGGCTTATTTTTTAGCAAGCCTCAGACATTTGCCTGGTAGCCTCCATAAGTTAGGAGGCTCACAGATCAGGATTTCTGTTCTGGAACCTTTCAGTACTGAGTTACAGCTCTGACCCATGTGTACGTTCAGTTCCTATGGATAGCAGAATTTTATCTGTCCCACTTAAGACCATTTCAGCATAGCCATTTTTTTTAATAAAAGTAAAATTTTTGAAACTTTTCGTTTTAAGTATTTTCTGTTTCTGAATACATTTTTCATCGGATGTATCAATTTTCATGTAAAATGAGTTAAGTAGTAGCAGAGATCCATCCACTCAAATTAAGTTTGATCTAGCTGTTTTTGTAGTAAAGTACATTCTATGTTATTAAATAAGCTAGTATTCGCATATATGATATACTTATATTTTTTAAAGTTTTCTTAAAGGCTGCAAGGGACATTTATTAACAAACATTTGAAATTGTCATTCTTGAATTCATTGAGACATTTTGAGTGTCTGCTTTGTGTTAGGTACTATGATAGGCATTAATTATACATATATGAAGTAGATAAGGAATCTCAAATTTTTTCTTTTCTTTTTACTGAAATATTTCTGTATTTGTAATGTAAGCATTTTCAGGGGAGTGATAAATAACTTAATTGGGGGTTAGAATTGTATTCAGCTGGGTTGGGTGCATAGCATGAGGAGTTTGGTGGTTGGTTACTGCCATATCTCTGAAAAACATGAAAATCTTCACACAGTTTTAGGAGGAATTTTATGTAAAAGGCAACTGGAAATTATACAGTGCATTGTATCTCTTTACAAAATAACTGATTTTTAGCATTAAGCAAATGTTTTTAAAAAGAAGCCAATTCAAATATATGTAAATACAGCACCTCTATTTAGAGCCTCTCCTGTGAGACTCAGTATCCCTGTGATTATATCATATGCATACTGTCTTTATAGAGCTGGTTATAAAGATATGCCTTTGCTTTTTACAGTCTATACCGTATATTAAGAAACATGCAGCAGAGTGAATTCATTTTGATAGGCATTCTCTTTTCAAAGTGTTGGTAATTTAATAATATTGGGCAATTTTTTTATATCAATATGCATAGGAATATGAATTCTTGCCATCTGACATGGGTTTTTCTGGCTTTCTGTGCCTGAATCATTCAGTGTTTGCTCTTGGTCACTTAAATTTTTGCCAAATTAATTTGAGTTTTCCCCAGTTTGTGTTTGAACCAATTTTTTCATTATTTTCTTCCCCTCCCCTCCCCCTCATTTCTGTCATTCTGACGCAGGGCATTTCTGATCTGCAATTGTTCTGTAGTATATATAGTTTAGTAAGATACCAATGATATTGGAAAATATCAGTAGATAATCATTTTACTTTTGTGGTAATTAGACATTTAAAAAATTCAAAATCAATTACCTAGAATTATGAAATTACCAAAAAAGAAGTAAACTAACATGCTCTTTACTTATCTCACACACGTAACGTGTGGTCTTTTAAACCTGGAACTAATCTCCAGTGTGTGAGTTTTACCTTTGTTGCACAGAAATGCTTGCAGATCAGCATTGCTGAGGACCAAATAGAACCAGGAACAGACACCATCTGATTTTACGTGTGCTTCCATGTTGCTGCAGTTAAATTCTGTGCATCAAAATAAGTGGCCTCCATGTTACTACATGTGATTCAGCTACCTCCTAAGTTTTTAATGAAAATTGCAAACTGAGTGAATCCTACTTTTTCCATATATTTTTATAACTTGGTTGTCTCTGATAACATCTCATTTAACATCTCTTTGTTTGTCAGTCAGGGAAAAACTATATCCTTAAGATGAAACCTTTAATTTTCTATTTTTTTATGCAAAGCAATTTAACTACCATAGTGGATTAAATAGCCAGTTGTAACAAAGATCACTTAGTCTTCCTAGAGCTGTATTTCATTAAGATACCCTCCACACACCCACCCATGTCTGTTTGCTCTTTTTTCAGCAATTTGGAAAGACATTATAATAAAAATTCTCCCAAGTATGCACATACAGTTAAATTGTGCCTCTGATTAGACGTTTTAAAGAGCTAACTACAATGTTTCCCCAGTTTTATAATTAGACTATGTGGTGAGATGAGAAAAATTTTGAGTTTCATTCATACCTCATAAAATGGAAAAATCAGTGTCAAGAGTTATCAGGGATTTTGAAATTCAACTTACTTTTACTTAGGATCCTAGACTCCTACATTTTTAGAAATGTACACAACCATTTGCTTTAGAAATCTCTTAATCAAAAGTTACAGAAACTTTTTATCCATATTTGCCATATCCATCCAAAGGCCTTGAAACTTTTAAAACAGACAGAATACATTATATATGCTTGTTTCTTAAATATATTGGCATTCCATCATTTGTTAAATGCTTAAGCCATATTCCTTCAACATCTTCAGAAAGGGATATTTTCACTATCATGTCTACATACTGATTTATAACATTTGAAGAAAGCATTATAAATTAACTTATTTTAATCCTCAGATATATTAAAGTCTAGTTACTTGGGCTTCCTCTAATCTTATCTCTACCCCGCCCCCAAGATTATGTTACTGAAACATTTCATTGCATTTTCTTAGCTAAACAGCATGAAGTAGATGTGCCCAAATGACTAATACATTGGCGACCTACATGAGAGGTTTACCTTAGAGTTTATTTTTAAGTAGCACGATTTCCTGTCAGACAGCTGGAACCCTCGATCAGCAGGCCCCTGGATTCTCCTAAAACTGTGGAAAACATTCACCAGTTTGCTTGCAAATCAACTCTGCTGCATGCGTTCACAAATTTCATGAAGATTGCATGCTTTCTGTTCTCAAGACAAATTGTATTTTTTTTTCATACCCATCCTTGCTTTTTATTTTTTTATTTTTGTTTCCCTTTTCTTGGTTGGATGCCTGTGTGTGTTTATTCCAAATCCCTGTCCAGTCCTGGAGTTTGAACTACGGAAAGCCAAGGAGACCATTCAGGCCCTCCGAGCAAACCTAACAAAGGCTGCAGGTGGTGTACATAAAATTTTCTTTTGAGACTTTTTCTACTTTGACAATATAGAAGTAGCTGAGATATTTTCCAATGTAAAATAGTAAAATGTTATTTACAATTTCTACCCTCAGAAAATGAAGTTCCTTTACAGGAACGAAAAAATTACAAATCAAGTCCTGAAATTCAGGTGAGTAAATGACATAGCTACAAGTATCTTCCTCATCAAGTGGTAGCACAAGTACCGAAGGAGAACTTAATGGTCCTGTATCTTCTATCTTGCTTCCAGGAGCCAATCAAACCTCTTGAAAAGAGAGCTCTAAACTTCTTAGTCAATGAATTTTTATTGAAGAATAATTACAAGCTTACATCCATAACCTTTTCAGATGAAAATGATGATCAGGTAAACTTACATTGTTTTTGTATGTGTATGCATGTGTGTGTTTTTGGTTTTGTCTTGCTTTTTTTTTCTTTTTAACCTAGAACTTCCTTACTTTTTCTATTACCTAGTTTCTTCTATTTAAAGCGACACAGTATTCTACCAGGTTAGTTCTCAAACACAAGTCCTTGTCTACCTGTCTGCCATTGCCCATTCCCCAGGAACATCTCTGCCATTTCTTTTAAGTAACATTGTTACTTCCTGCTTTTTCATGTTAGAGGTTGTCTTTTGGATTCTCCTTAAGGAAAATGAGGCAGACTATACCTTTATTTGTTGATTACTACTACTTCCTCAGCTCCATCCTCCTAAATGTACTTGTATCTTAATTTTGATTTGAGTAATAGTGTTTTCATTATTATGACTAAGTTTTGGCTGGTATCCACTACCCATCTGTCAGTGTGTCAGCTGTGGTGCTATGATGTGGGAAGTGATGCCACTGTATTTCAGTTAGCAGGGTTTTCCCCGTGATGGACAGCAGAAGTTGCCATACTAAGAAGTGGAAGGAAAGCATGATGATATATTTTCAAAAATTAACCCGAAAACCCTTTGGATCAGAACAGAGTATTACTTGATATTATGCGAGAAAATGAGCCCCAGCGTGGAAGGCACTCAAAGTACACGCTTTCCACAGCAGTCAAGCATGCCAATGACTTTGAAGGTGGCACAGGACTGGGCTGCCTCTCATCCAGCCGCACGTGGGGTCACCAGGAGTCAGCCACCTCCAGGAACAACATCTGATGATTTCCCCTGATATTACTAGCTCTTTTTGTTTCCTCGCTTGGTTCTCTATGTACTTAGCATTCATCCAACCCTAAACTTTATTGCCAGGGCTGCCATCGGAAGTTTATCATTATTCTATCATGTTCTTCTTGGAGATTTCTTTTCTGGAGCCGCTGATCTTCAATCCGGCCTCCTCTGTTCTGTGCATGAGGCATTGCCTCCTCTTGGAAACACTTTAGACCAGGGTTCTCAACCTGTGAGTCGCAAACCCTTTGGGGGTTGAC